TCACTTTGGGGTTCTTGATTGCTTGCAGTCCCTCAGATATCCTTTTCACACGTTTGCAGCACTCATGTCTCAAGAAGCAATGCCTGCCCTCTCCTGACATGAGTGAAGCCTGCATCTGAAGACGGGCCTCCTCCTCCATCCTCAGATGGGGAGGAAAGCGCAGGCTCTGTGCAGGGCAGCTCTGAGCTGCACAGAGGCAGAGAAGCACAGAGCTTTGTGCATGGCAGGAAACGGTCCCTGCCTGGCTGTGTCTAAGCTGCTGGCACAGAGATACACCGCTGAGTCCTCCAGCTGTGCAGGCTGAATCTTCAAGGTAGAGTCTGCACCTTCAGGCCTCTGTGCAGAAAACCGATCTTTAGGCAACTGGGCTTCCTCACTCATAACCTTGTTCTGAAAATAAAGCAGCCTCTCTGGGCCCTGTCCCGGGGTCTGCCTGTACCAGAAGAGGGCATTGTGACCAGAAACTGGATCACACCAAAGAGACACAGCTTGGCTTTTCTCGGTGACCTTGTATCTGGGAGACTGAGTGACCCCAGCTTCTGTGAGTGCTGTGGAGGAAAAGACAAAGAATCCGGGTGGAAACAGTGGAGATGATCTTGGGGGGATGTGACAAGGAGATGGTAGGGATATGAGGACTCACCCATCCCCAGGAGACACAGGGACATGCAGGACGGCAGGCTGGTGCCCATGGTGAGGCAGTGCAGGAGGTGCTCCCAGCTCTCTGTCCTGGGGAATGCAGCAGAGGAGGAGCTTCTGTGTCCCCACCCAGCAGCCCCCACCGTGATGCTATGTGACATCTCCATGGAGGCCTCTTTCTTCCTGTCCAATAGCTGCAAGCCCAAAGAGCTCTTGTGGCTATGCACTGTCATGCCCTGTGGAAAGGCACGTACTTTTCTAACATTTTAGGAGTTGAGTCTCCCTCCACATTTCCAGATCTCCTGGATATTTCCTCTTACCTCTACCAAAGCAACTGAAAATCACGCTATCAGCTAGTGAGCTTCCCTCTGCCATGTAACTACCCATCCCTTTGAGCCTTTCTCTTTCTCCAGGTTCTCATGGGCTGTCTTTCAGTTATCTAGTGATAAGAATTCTCTGCCAAATTTATTAGAGGAGGTGAGCAATGCTACAGAAAGAAAACAGCTCAGGCTGGGTGCCGGTGGCTCACGCCTCTAATCCTAGCTACTCAGGAGGCTGAGAACTGAGAATCACGGTTCAAAGCCAGCCCGGGCAGGAAAGACTGTGAGACTCCTATCTCCAATAGACTTCTATCTCCAATAAATCACTAGAAAAACGGAAGTGGCGCTGTAGCTCAAGTGGTAGAACGTTCGCCTTGAGCTGAAGAGCTGAGGGACAGGGCCCAAGCCCAGAGTTCAAGCCCCATGACCGACAAAAAAAAAAAGAAAAAAAAAAAAGAAAACAGCTCAGAAATGTTGTTATAGTTTAGAGGTGCAGTGTTGTATCAGCACTCAAGAATGTGGTCCTGTGTGCAGGCAGTGATCAGAAGCAGGACTTTGGGGTCCCATCACTGGGGCTCCAGTTTCCTTCATGGATCATTGGACTGATGGTTTCTGATCTGAATGAACTAGTGAGGGTTGGAGAAACATGAGAAGATGACAATTGGGAACCTAGTTGGAGGAAGTTGCTCCCTTAGACATGTCCTGAATTATGTGCATACCTTGTGTTTATTCTCTCTCTTTCTATCTCTGTCACTCCCTCTCTCTCTCTCTCTCTCTTCTCTACATGTATTTTTTTATTGGTCATGAGGCTTGAACTCTGGGCCTGGGCACTATCCCCCAGCTCTTCAGCTTAAGGCTAAAACTCTACCACTTGAGCCACAGCACCACTTCCATCTACAAGTATTTTTGTAATATTTCTTCCCTTCTTTTCCTTCCTTGCATCCTTCCTTCCATCTTGGCTTGCTTGCTTGCTTCCTCCATTCTTTCTTTTCTTCCTTCCTTCCTTCCTTCCTTCCTCCCTTCCTTCTTTCTTCCTTCCTTCCTTCCTTCCTATGTTCTTCCTATCTCCTTCCTCTTTGCTCCCTCCATCTCTGCTGCCAGGCTGCTATGGAGCAATCAACTCTGCTATGCTATGTTCTCCCCACCATGATGCCCAACTTGTCTAGTGGAAACAACACAGCCAAGTGAACACTGTCTAAAATGCCTAAGATTGTGAGTCAAATAAATAAACTTTTTCTCCTTAGGTTTATTCCAACGTTATGTCCAAGGGATAGGAAACTAATACAATAAAACAGATTCTAAAGTTCACAGATAACTCTGTTGTATATCTTCCATCTATAAAATCCTACTCTGCCAAGATCATCTTCCTGCCACTGTTGAAGATCAATTTGATTCAATGTTAATTCATTGCCCACTGTCATCCAGAACAAGTAATTGCACCACCAGGTTGCACGTGTGTTTAAGCAAGAACATCTGTACCCTGTGGCCCCCAAGCTCTGATCTGATAGGGGCTGAGAAGGAACGAGTTGGCACGCACTGCTGTTGAGACTGGAGACTTCAAAGGGGCGAGCAGATGCCCTCCGTCTCCCTTCACACTTTCTGAGCAGAGAGGAGGCAGCCCCGCAGCACTGTGGAGATACTGCTGGCACACCAGTACACAGCTGTGTGGGAGGGGGTGGCTGAGTCCACAGTGAGGGAGAAGTCCTCCGTGCGTGGTCTGGACACGCTGTACCCGTCGGGGATGTCTCCTTTTACAGTGCTTCTCTCTCCATTTGAGTAATGGAGGAGCCTCAGCCCATGCCCAGGATCTTGTCGATACCAGTACATGTAGTCATGGTTGTCATTCTGGTGACAGCTCAAATTCACCCGTCTTCCTGTCTCTGTGAGTTTGTGTCTTGGACGTTGGGTGATGGCAGCCTCCATGTGTCCTGTAACAGAGAATGACCCAAGTCTGAAGGGGTCTGTCAAGGAGAAGCCGGGGATGCCCTGGGGTGGGAGGCAGTGAGGGGCCCACCTGAAGCCATCCCTCACCTGCCCACAGGAGACAGAAGGCCATGTGCAGCAGCTGGGCGCCCATCTCAGGAGCGGGGCAGAGTCCCATGTCTCCCAGCCTCCTTTGGAGGAAAAAGAAGGTTGCTTCACAGTGACTCAGTGGCATCACCTCCCCACCAATGCCTGGGCTGCTGCTAACCTGCCACGCCCCTTCCCTCCAGAAACAACTCCTTTCTGTTATGTGCATGCACAGGGTTATGGCATTTATACCAGTAATGGTAGTGCATATACACGATTTAACAGTTCATAGTGAGTGCCAGTTTTAATTTCTTATTAACTGGAACTATCTATTTTAGTGTTTTCATAATCTGGACATCTGTTCCTCTGGTCATCTTTAAATTCCCTTAAGACAAAAGTCCCTTTCATTCCATGGTTCCAATTGTTCCTAAAGTTCTGGCAGACTCAGCAGAGCCGCACAGCTGCCCTCTGACTTTCTAAGGCATTTCAGCTCTCAGTACCTATAAGTAGCTTTTTTCAGTATTTTCTATTTACCCTATTGGTAAATAAATACCTGTCATTCTGAGAAGATATCCCAGCCTTCAAAAGCCACCAGACATCCAGGTATTAGCGTGTGAAGGTCAGGGTGCAGGATCAAGTTTCACAGTGATTCTGGTGACAGCAGCCCTCTGGGCTCAGGTCTCCAGGTGTCCTCATGAGATGAATTCTCCCTGGTTTCAGTCCACCATGGACTCTGGATCACTCAAGTCCCCCTGTCATGCTTTCTGTCCAAGGATGAGAAAGCTGCTCACTAATACCAAGGAGATTTTGACCAGCAAAGATAGATGACTGCTGTGTCCAGAATCACACCGACATTCTCTGTCTTCATTCACAGATTCTCATTCACCAAAAGAATAATACCGATGGATCCTAATCTTCTGAATCATGAAAATGTATCCCTACGCTGTAGCATTCATTGCCTGTTATCATTTTCCAGGTAGGCCATGACTCACTGTGAGCTCTCCATCCTGCGGTCACACAAGGGGACTGAATCTTGATGACATTGCTGCCCTCTTGGTCTAGTGAGGAGGAATACAGAATCGGACTAGACACAGCAGGTGGACAGAATCCAATGAGAGCCTAGTGCTCTGGCCTTGGAAGACCCAGCTGGTCCTAGAGCCCAAGAGACACCAACAAAAGGAACCTGTGGAGCATGGTTGGGCCAAGCCATGGAAAGAAAGATTGCTTTTTTTCACATATGTACATATACATAGAAGTATATTTAATTATTGTCTTTATGTAAATATAAAAAGGATTTTCCATTTAACAAGACAGGTATGGGGAAATGCTATAGTGATCAAGGTCACCCCTTGAAACATTTTCACCTGTGCTGCCCAACCACATCCTTACTCTTTTTAATTTTGTAGGATACATATTGGATTCTCGCTGAGACTTGCGTTTTTCTTGAGGGGTCGGGTTAAAGGTACAGGGACTATCAAAGTTCCCAGGATCAATTTTAAAATAAGGTGTAATCTACCTATTATGATAGGCTTTGAAAGAATAATTTCTTTAGGTATAAGTATCAGCTATAAATAATCTAATTCTCATTTATTTTGAAATTCATTACAGAATTAAAATTTTAGTTTGCTGAAAACATGTATCTCTTCCTCAACTTATCATAGGGCCCATTCTCTGGGTAAAAGCTCTCTGTCCTGAAAGTTGATGGCAGGCACTATCTCATAGCAACCACAATCCATAATGGGACTTACCGTTGCTGCTCAGCTGATCTTGCAGTGGACAGACACTGCTGTGCTATCAGCTATTGTACAGGCCAGAAAACACTATAGAGCCTCAGGAGCACTTCAGGTTAGAGGTGTGAATGTACACTTCTATCCCAGCACTGATCCTTTTAAATATTAAATGTTACGAAATTCCATGAGCTACAGCTTTCCATCTATGAACTGATACCTTAACATCTCCCGCATATAAAGAGGATACTCTAATGACTTTGCTTGCATTATAATATTTAATGTGCATTAGGGCACAGAGCAGAGACGGTCCAGGGAGTTAGGAAATACAGAGCTCATAAACTGTCTGAGCTGGGCAGAACAGAGAAGGGTTATCACAGCTGGAGAGGGCTCCTGGGGTTTACTAAGGCTGGGCCTCAGTCCCCCCCGCCTTCCCTCAGTGCCATCTTCAGCTGGGGCAGGAAGGTTTGGGTAGAGAAAGCCAGTCCCTGTGCAGGGCTGTGCAAGCTGCTGGCACACAGATACAGCGCGGAGTCCCTCAGCTCCAAGGCGCTCATGTTCAGCTCAGAGTGATAGTCACTGAACTGCCGAGCTGAGAAGCGGCCAGGGATGCTTCCTTTATCTCTCTCTGACTCTCGAAAATAGGAAATGAGGAACTGGAGGCTCTGGTCCTCGGCCTGCTGGTACCAGTACACAGCATCATGTCCAGAGTCAGGAGAGCACTGCAGAGTGGCCTTTCCTCCCTTGGCTTTGATCAGGTGTCTGGGGGACTGGAGGACCCCAGCATGCACCACACCTAGGCGGGAAGAGACAGCAATGAAGCCCTAGCCCGGGAGGGCATAGGATGCTCCAGCAACCAGGCTCTGCCCCACAGTGCCCCTGACTCACCTGCTCCCAGGAGACACAGGACAACACCACAGAGGAGCCTGGGGCCTGGGGCAGAGTCCAGGGGAGCAGCCCCAGGCATCATCTCCCTACTGAGGGCACAGGTCTGAGAAAGAGAGAGAGGGGTGAGGGAAGACAGAGACACAGAGAAACAGAGAGAGACTAGAGGATTCTCAGCTCCTGGGCCAGCACTCCCTCTGTTTATCTAAACACATCCCAGCCTGGGACAAGAAGCCAAGGCTGAACCCACACTCTCCCAGTCAGGCAGCAGCTTGCTCAGTGGGTCCACACTGCCCCCTGGTGATCAGCTCTGCTCATTACTGGAATGGCACTCTACTGCCCGAACCAGGAGCTGTCCCCAGGGTCCTCCAGACCCCAGGACAACTCCAGAGGACTGGAGGATTGTCTCTTGCAATCTCAGCTCTTGTCTGTAAACATGAGGGAGGTGTGAAACAACCCTTCTTGTCCAAAATGAGAAGAAAAGTCCTTCCTTCCTTCATATACTGAGGTAAGCATGGAGAAACCCAAGAGTCATTACATGCTAGGTGTCATCAGTGTGTTGTGACCTGGGCAAGTCATTGTCTTTGACCCCTGGTGATGCCCACAAGGGAAGCACCGTGGATTCCCTCAGTCAACAAGGCTTCTCCATGGCTGCCGCAGCAAATGGCGCAGTCATATGAAGAGGAAGCTGCCTGTTTGTGTATCTTCCATTTTTAAGATCCTATCAACTATTTTGCTAATTTTTAGGTTAAATCATGTCTGCTTTCTAACTGATTCCAAGAAATTATTTGAATTATGAATATACTTCCCAAATACATTTTCATAAAACAGACATAAAAGACTTAGTAAATATAAAATGTGTTTTATATATAATAAAATGTATAATTTAATTCTAAAGTGATATGATTTATTCTGAAACATTGATATTAATGTCTTGAATTGGGCTATTAGTATTAGCGTGCTACTTTTTCCTGTCTCTTTACTTTTCTATCCTGTTTCTTTATACTTGCAAATTGAATGTCTTCTAGGGGACATCTTGATTTGTTGCAGTTATTTGTTCTTGTTTTGATTATTTTTTGGGCTGCTGGGGATTGAACCCCAAACCTCACACATTCACACAAATGAATGGTCTAGTGGTCTTCTACTTAGATGCAACGGCCATGCCTTTTAATAAGAACATTGACCCTGCTCAGATGTGATTGGACTGTTTAATCTGGTGTCTGCATTTTGGTATGCTTTTTCCTTCCATGTCTTTCTTGTTCCTTTCTTAGTTTGGTCAATCCAACCTGTGGGGTAGGGACACCATTTTCATAATTCCATTGTCTTTTGTGGATTTAACAACTATAACTTGGGACGTTGTGGTGAGAGTGGTAATTCAAAACTTTTACAAGGAAATATAGGAAAGCAAGGAGATTTGGAAATCATATTGTCTTAAACAGGTATCAAATATAGATTACCACCTAAAAAGGGTGAAATGGAGAGATTTGTTCTTAAGAACTTTTGCTTTTCAAAATATTGAACAGGAAATAGTTATTTATAACATCCATAAATTTGTGCAACTACAATAGGTTAATCAAAAATTATTTTAATTATTCAAGAGAGGACATACATTAGATTATCTTGCTGTAGTATGTACATATATGCAATTAATCAACCAACAGTAAAAATAGACAAGGAAAACTGAAACAATTTTAAATCTAACAGAGAACAAACTGAAAGTCTACTATTCCTTTGTTGTGAGTGTAAATTGACACAGGTAGTTCAGAAGCGTCAAAGGAAGGTACAGTGTAGATGATACTGCTGTTTGGATCTTTGAACTTCCTTTTAACACGTCATGAGAGATATAATTTATAAAATTGAGCAAAATGAGAATGACATTAAACAATGACTTTCAAAAAATTCATAAAGTATCATATGGACATACTTTTAGGTATATTACAAATAGTGACAATCGCTTGTGGATAATTGATTTTGATGATAATTCTTACTTACAATCCTATATTTTTTGGGGGGTGTCCAGTCGTGGGGCCTGAACTCTGGGACTGGGCGCTGTCCCTCAGCTCTTCAGCTCAAGGCTAGCACTCTACCAATTGAGCCACAGTGCCACTCGGCTTTTTTCTTTTTGCTTATGTGGTGCTGAGGAATCGAACCCAGGGCCTCAGGCATGCAAGGCAAGCGCTCTACCACTGAGCCACCGTCCCAGCCCACAATCCTACATTTTTGTAAAGGACTGATAGTTACAAATTGTCTTAGTGTTACTTTGTTCTGGCTGGCCAACTCTTCGATTTGTATATGAGTGTAAGTGACACTCAGCCCGGAAGTTTATTGTCAATATGTTAAATTATATAAACTTCCAGTAGAATACTTACTCCTCACAGTCTTTGAGATTAAGCTTTCAAGTCCAATCCCGGATGTTGAATCTTAGCTATAAATGTAATGTCAGAAAGCTTAGCCCTGGCTTTTCCCATCCTGAATTCCTTGTTGTAATTCAGTGGATCTTTCCTGCCCTCCTGCTGTCAGATCTCCTTTCTGGTTCCAAATCCTTCATTCCCTTCCATGAGGAGCAGGCCAGGCAACTGCTGAGTTTGGGTCTCTGGGAAGTGGGAGGAGGCTGAGCCCTTATGGTTTGTGCTCAGGAAGGAGGGGGCTGAGGCACACTGTGTCTGGCAGCTGGCACATAGGTACAGGGCCGAGTCTCCCTGCTCTGCAGGCTGCATCTTCAAAGTCGAGAAGGAGCCATTGGGCCTCTGTGCAGAGAACCGCTCAACAGGCATCTCAGGTTTTTCTGCAGCAACTTCATACTGGAAGTGAGTCAGGTATTCTAGGCCTTGACCCGGGGTCTGTCTATACCAATAAAGTCGCTGGTGTCCAGAAATGGGGTCACATCTGAGTAGCACAGTGTGTCCCCTCTTTGTGACTCTGTGTCGGGGAGACTGGGAGACCCCAGATTCGGTATGACCTTGGAATACAGAAGGACATTCTTTTTCAAATCATTACACACAAGCGCGTATACACACACACACACACACACACACACACACTCCCAACAGGACTGCTTGCTTAGTGGTATTTGATGACTTACCAGTGCCAAGGAGGCAGAGGACCACCCAGCAGAGGAGCCTGGTGCTCATGGTAGAAGGAAAGGAGGTAGAGGAAGAAGAGGAGGAGGAGGAGAAGGAGGAGGAGGAAGAAGAGGAGAAGGAGGAGGAGGAGGAGGAGGAGGAGGAGGAGGAGGAGGAAGTCACCCTATCACTGTCTTTTGTAAGTAGCCATGGGAGAGGAGGGCAGCCCTTGTCCCACTGGGAGGTGCTACAGTGACATCACTGAGCCCTGGAGTAACTTGATATTAATGAAGTCAAAGATGCCAGCAGCCCTGAGATGCACCTTCTATCAGGAGCCAGGAAGAAGGAACAAACATTACTGTGAGTTAAGATCAGAATCAGTAAGAGAGAAAATGGCGAGGCTTAGAACGCAGAAATCATGGCTCCTCAGAAGTCGATTTCTACACAGCTGATTCAGAGCGAGGTCTGCCTGGTGGAGCCCCTCCGCATCCCACACTGCTGCTGCCCAGGGCTCACACGGGGTCTCTGGATCCTCTCCTCACTCCTCATCCACACCTGCATATTTCACCAGTGTTTCGCACTGGAAACCCTAAGGCTGGCTGCCATCCACCTTCAGAGACCTATGACTTCTCCCCCATTCGTGCACTGGCCCTAAGAGAAGGAGGAAGAAAAGGCAATTGCCCACAGCCTTCAGAGGTGAAAATAATAAGGCAAACTCTTCCCTAAATATCTTATTTTTATGTATAAAGACACTAAAGAAGATCTAGAAATTATACCATGAGGGACTCAGTAACTATGAGAAATGACATAGGAGGTTGGGAACGGAACCAAGTAATAATCCTGCTAAAGACATTGTTAATGATCATGTTGATCCATCCCATGACTGGTTTTTTGTCAGACAAGTTTATTAGATAAGGATCAGTTATTGACAAGACATATCTTGCCTGCAGGTAGGCTAGATGAAGAGGGAAGAGATGCCCGGATGAGCTGGGGAAAGAGAGAACACCTTCAGAACATTCCCAGTCAATGACTTTTCAATAATGCACTGTTCCCTCTCCACCATCTGACTCAAGCTTAAAACAGTGCAGAACTGGGAGGGTCCCAATGAAAAAACTTAAGAGTGCTCTAGTAAAAGCAGTATTTGGTTTGAATCAAGACTTCGATTTAAGGTGTGCATTTATCTGCAGTTGTGAAGTTGCTGGCAAAAATACATAAATGACTATCATCATCATCATCATTAGCAAAACAACATCATTATTATTAAGGTATTTCCATATGAACAGAGGGTGAAAAATCTATAAAATAATGCAGGAAATAAAGGAAAATCCACATGGAAAGAAAGATAGGAAGCTAGACCAAGAAGCTAACGCCAAGGATGCCAGCAAGGCTCACATTCAGTCACTCAGGAGACACAGGGAAACAGCAAAATACCTAGTTAACTTGGTAGGAGCATACCAACCCCCTCTATGGTACTGAGTTGGCTGTGTGTGTTTTGGAAGTGCATGGTTTATGAACAAGGTACATCTGGGCTCTGGGACACCCAGGTCTCTCCTGAAGGACTGTCACTTTGGGGTTCTTGATTGCTTCCAGTCCCTCAGATATCCTTTTCACACCTTTGCAGCACTCATGTCTCAAGAAGCAATGCCTGCCCTCTCCTGACATGAGTGAACCCTGCATCTGAAGACGGGCCTCCTCCTCCATCCTCAGATGGTGAGGAAAGCGCAGGCCCTGTGCAGGGCAGCTCTGAGCTGCACAGAGGCAGAGAAGCACAGAGCTTTGTGCACGGCAGGAAATGGTCCCTGCCTTGCTGTGTCTAAGCTACTGGCACAGAGATGCACCGCTGAGTCCTCCAGCTGTGCAGGCTGAATCTTCAGGGTGGAGTCTGCACCTTCAGGCCTCTGTGCAGAAAACCGATCTTTGGGCAACTGGGCGTCCTCACTCATAGCCTTGTTTTGAAAAGGAAGCAGCCTCTCTGGGCCCTGTCCCGGGGTCTGCCTGTACCAGAAGAGGACATTGTGATCAGAAACTAGATCACACCAAAGAGACACAGCTTGGCTTTTCTCGGTGACCTTGTATGTGGGAGACTGAGTGACCCCAGCTTCTGTGAGTGCTGTGGATGAAAGATAAAGAATCGGGGTGGAAACAGTGGAGATGACCTTGGGGGAGATGTGACAAGAACTCACCCATCCAAAGGAGACACAGGGACACGCAGGCTGGCAGGCTGGTGCCCATGGTGAGGCAGTGCAGGAGGTGCTCCCAGCTCTCTGTCCTGGGGAATGCAGCAGAGGAGGAGCTTCTGTGTCCCCACCCAGCAGCCCCCACCGTGATGCTATGTGACATCTCCATGGAGGCCTCTGTCTTCCTGTCCAATAGCTGCAAGCCCACAGAGCTCTTGATGCTGTGCACAGTCATAGCCTGGGGAAAGGCACGAACTGTTCCAACACTTTAGGAGTTGAGGCTCCCTCCACATTTCCAGATCTCCTGGATGTTTCCTCTTGCCTCTACCAAAGCAACTGAAAATCAAGCTATGAGCTAGTGAGCTTCCTTCTGCCATGTAACTACCCATCCCTTTGAGCCTTTCTCTTTCTCCAGGTTCTCATGGGCTGTCTTTTAGTTATCTAGTGATAAGAATTCTCTGCCAAATTTATTAGAGTAGGTGAGCAATGCTACAGAACGAAAACAGCTCGGAAATGTTGTTATAGTTTAGAGGTACAGTGTTGCATCAGCACTCAGGAATGTGGTCCTGTGTGCAGGCAGTGATCAGGAGCAGGATTTTGGGGTCCCATCACTGGGGCTCCAGTTTCCTTCATGGATCATTGGACTGATGGTTTCTGGTCTGAATGAACTAGTGAGGGATGGAGAAAAATAAGAAGATGACAATTGGGAACCTAGTTGGAGGAAGTTGCTCACTTGGACATATCCCAAATCATGTGCATACTAGTGCTGTCTCTCTCAGTCTCTGTCTCTCTCTCCCTCTCTCTGTCTTCTGTACATGTATTTGTCTAGTACTCCTTCCTTTCCATTTCCTTCCTTGTGCCTGTCCTTTCTTTCTTCCTTCCTTTCCTCTTCCTTCCTTCCATCCTTCGTTTGTTCCTTCCTTCCATTCTTTTTTCCTCTTTTCTTTCCTTCATTTCTTGCTTGCTATCTATGTTCTTTCTGTCCCTCCTTTTTGCTCCCTCCATCTCTGCTGCCAGGCTGCTCTGGAGCAATCAACTCTGCTATGTTATGTTCTCCCCACCATGATGCCCAACTTGTCTAGTGGAAACAACACAGCCCAGTGAACACTGACTAAAATGCTAAAGATTGTGTAGCAAATAAATTAGCATTTTCTCGTTTGGCTTACTATCATAGTCATGAGAAACTCACTAACACAAAAAAAACAAATCCTAAAGGCTAGTGATAACTCTGTTGTATCTCTTCCATTCAGAAATCCCAGTTTGCCACCAACATCTTCCTGACACTGTTAAAGATCAATTTGATTCAATGATAATTCAATGACTACTGTCATCCAGAACAAGTAATCGCACCACCAGGGTGCACACATGTTTAAGCAAGGACATCTGTAACCTGTGGCCCCCAAGCTCTGGTCTGATAGGGGCTGAGAAGGAACGAGTTGGCACACACTGCTGTTCAGACTGGAGACTTCAAAGGGGCGTGCAGATGCCCTCTGTCTCCCCTCACACTTTCTGTGCAGAGAGGAGGCAGCTGCACAGCACTGTGGAGACACTGCTGGCACACACAGCTGTGTGGGAGGAGGTGGCTGAGTCCACAGTGAGGGAGAAGTCCTCCGTGCGTGGTCTGGACACGCTGTACCCGTTGGGGATGTCTCCTTTTGCAGTGCTTCTTTCTGCATTTTAATAATGGAGTAGCCTCAGCCCATGTCCAGGGTCTTGTCGATACCAGTACATGGAGGCATGGTTGTCAGTCTGGTGACAGCTCAAATTCACCTGTCTTCCTGTCTCTGTGAGCTTGTGTCTTGGACGTTGGGTGATGGCAGCCTCCATGTGTCCTGTAATAGAGAATGACCCAAGTCTGAAGGGGCCTGTCAAGGAGAAGCCAGGGATGCCCTGGAGTGGGAGGCAGTGAGGGGCCCACCTGTAGCCATCCCTCACCTACCCACAGGAGACAGAAGGCCACGTGCAGGAGCTGGGTGCCCATCTCAGGAGCAGGGCAGAGTCCCAGGTCTCCCAGGCTCCTTTGGAGGAAAAAGAAGGTTGCTTCTCAGTCACTCAGTGGCATCACCTCCCCACCAATGCCTGGGCTGCTGCTAACCTGCCACGCCCCTTCCCTGCAGAAACAACTCCTTTCTGTTATGTGCATGCACAGGGTTATGGCATTTATACGACTAATGGTAGTGTATATACACGATTTAACGGTTCACAGTGAGTGCCAGTTTTAATTTCTTATTAACTGGAATTATCTATTTTAGTTTTTTCATTATCTTAGGAAGGACATCTGTTCCTCTGGTCATCTTTAAATTCCCTTAAGATAAAAGTCCCTTTCATTCCACTGTTCCAATTGTTCCTAAGGTTCTGGCAGACTCAGCAGAGCCGCACAGCTGCCCTGTGACTTTCTAAGGCATCTCAGCTCTCAGTACCTATAAGTAGCTTTTTTCAGTATTTTCTATTTACCCTATTGGTAAATAATTACCTGTCAGTCTGAGAAGATATCCTAGCCTTCAAAAGCCACCAGACATCCAGGTATTAGCGTGTGAATGTAAGGGTACAGCATCTAGCTTCACAGTGATTCTGATGACAGCAGCCCTCTGGGCTCAGGTCTCCAGGTGTCCTCATGAGATGAATTCTCCATGGTTTCAGTCCACCATGGACCCAGGATCACTCATGTCTCCTTGCCCAGCTTTCTGTCCAAGGATAAGAAAGCTGATTACTAATAGGAAGGAGATTTTGACCAGCAAAGATAGATGACTGCTGTGTCCAGAATCACACCGACATTCTCTGTCTTCATTCACAGATTCCCATTCACCAAAAGAATAATATGGATGGAGCCTAAACTTCTGTATCATGAAAATGTATCCCTACCCTGTAGCATTCATTACCTGTTATCATTTTCCAGGTAGGCCATGACCCACTGTGAGCTCTCCATCCTGCAACCACACAAGGGAACTGATTCTTGATGACATTGCTGCCCTCTTGGTCTAGTGAGGAGGAATACAGAATCGGACAAGACACAGCAGGTGGACAGAATTCAATGAGAGCCTAGTGCTCTGTCCTTGGAAGACCCAGCTGGTCCTAGAGCCCAAGAGACACCAACAAAAGGAGCCTGTGAAGCATGGTTGGGCCAAGCCATGGAAAGAAACATTTCTTTTTTGAACATATGTACATATACATATAAATATGTTTAATTATAGTCTTTATGTAAATACAAAAAGGATTTTTAATTTAACAAGACAGTTATGAGGAAACGCTATAGTGATCAAGGTCACCCCTTGAAACATTTTCACCTGTCCTGCCCCTACTCCACATCCTGCCCTTATTCTTTTCAATTTTGTGGGATACATATCGGATTCTAGCTGAGTCTTGCGTTTTTCTTGAGGGGTCGGGTTAAAAGTACAGGGACTATCAAAGTTCCCAGGATCAATTTTAAAATAAGGTATAATCTACCAATTATGATAGATTTTGAAAGAATAATTTCTTTGGGTATAAGTATCAGCTATAAATATCTATTTCTCATTTATTTTGAAATTCATTACAGAATTAAAATTTTAATTCGCTGAAAACGTGTATCTCTTCTTCAACTTATCATAGGGCCCATTCTCTGGATAAATGCTCTCTGTCCTGAAAGTTGACTGGCAGGAGCTATCTCATAGCAACCACAATCCATAATGGGACTTAACCGTTGCTGCTCAGCTGATCTTGCAGTGGACAGACACTGCTGTGCTATCTGCTATTGCACAGACCAGAAAACACTTTAGAGCCTCAGGAGCACTTCAGGTTAGGGGTGGTGAATGCACACTTCTATCCCAGCACTGATCCTTTTAAATATTAAACGTTACAAAATTCTCTGAGCTACAGCTTTCCATCTATGAACTGATACCTTAACATTTCCCGAATATAAAGAGGATACACTAATGTCTGTGTTTGCATTATAATATCCAATGTGCATTAAAGTGCAGAGCAGAGACAGTCCAGAGTGTTAGGAAATACAGGGCTCAGAAGCTGTCTGAGCTGGGCAGGACAGAGAAGGTTTACCACAGCTGGAGAAGGCTCCTGGGGTTTGCTAAGGCTGGGCCTCAGCCCCCCACCCCTCCCTCAGTGACATCCTCAGCTGGGGCAGGAAGGTTTGGGTAGAGAAAGCCAGTCCCTGTGCAGGGCTGTGCAAGTTGCTGGCACACAGATACAGCGCGGAGTCCCTCAGCTCCAAGGCGCTCATGTTCAGCTCAGAGTGATAGTCACTGAACTGCCGAGCTGAGAAGCGGCCAGGGATGCTTCCTTTCTCTCTCTCTGACTCTCGATAATACGAAATCAGGAACTGGAGGCTCTGGTCCTCGGCCTGCTGGTACCAGTACACAGTATCATGTCCAGAGTCAGGAGAGCACTGCAGAGTGGCCTTTCCTCCCTTGGCTTTGATCAGGTGTTTGGGGGACTGGAGGACCCCAGCATGCACCACACCTGGGCAGGGAGAGACAGCAATGAAGCCCTAGCCCGGGAGGGCATAGGATGCTCCAGCAACCAGGCTCTGCCCCACTAGTGCCCCTGACTCACCTGCTCCCAGGAGACACAGGACAACACCACAGAGGAGCCTGGGGCCTGGGGCAGAGTCCAGGGGAGCAGCCCCAGGCATCATCTCCCTACTGAGGGCACAGGTCTGAGAAAGAGAGAGAGTGGTGTGGGGAGACAGAGACACAGAGAAATAGAGAGAGAGGGGGGGGGGAGGATTCTCCCCTCTGGGCCAGCACTCCCTCTGTTTATCTAAACACTTCCCTGCCTGGGACAAGAAGCCAAGGCTGAACCCACACTCTCCCAGTCAGGCAGCAGCTGGCTCAGTGGGCCCACACTGCCCCCTGGTGATCAGCTCTGCTCATTACTGGAATGGCACTCCACTGCCTGAGCCAGGAGCTGTCCCCAGGGTCCCCCACACCCTAGGACAGCCCCAGAGGACTGGAGGATTGTCTCTTGCAATCTCAGCTCTTGTCTGTAAACATGAGTGATGTGTGAAACAATCCTTCTCGTCTAAAATGAGAAGAAAAGTCCTTCCTTCCTTCATATACTGAGGTAAGCATGGAGAATCCCAAGAGTGATTACATGCCAGGTGTCATCAGTGTGTTGTGACCTGGGCAAGTCATTGT